GCTATTTCATGCGTTTTATTTTATTTTATTAACTGCATGCTTTTCTTCTTGATTTCACTTGTTTTTATTGCGTAATTTTTTCGATTTTTTGTTTTTTTTTTTTTTGTTTTTTTTGTTTTTGTTGTTGTTTCATTCATTTCTAGTTGGTTTTAATTTACTGCACGCTCTTTGTTTATCGTTGCAGCATGCCATTTTTTCAGCTTTACTAACTGCATGCTTTTTTAAATAATCTCACACATTATTATTAGTAAGTTTTAAATTTTAGTTTTCGAATCTTTTTAACTATTTTGTTAATTTGTTAATTAATCTTTTTAACTATTTTGTTAATATTTTATCAAATTAACTATTTTGTTAATTTGTTTTCTGCATGCTTTATATTGATTTTTTTGTGCATTATTTGTTACTTTTTTTGGTGTCGTCTAATTTGCAGATCGAAATAGTTGAATAAATTTTATCAAATGCTCAGAAGGTAAGGTTTTTTGGTCAAATTTCCATTCGTAGCCTTGTTATGAATTCTTATCTTTTTAAATCTTTAAATTTGAGGTTATTTTGTACAGAAATACAACAGAGATCTCAATGAACAGTCATGGAATCTTCTGTCCCATTGATCTTCGCTTCAACAAACAGAATTCTTCTCATGCTTGTGGTGATGATGAGCGTTTCAAAGGTTTGTCGACCTTTAAATATTAGCTGATTTTAGGTATATAAAAAATTAGCCCGCATTCATACTTTCGACGCTTTATTATTTGTATGCTTTTTATTCTCCATTATTTTCATATTTATTCAAAATTTTTATTATAAATATTTTATTAATTATTATTTTTATTATATTTATTATTTTTGTTGTTTTTATTACTTTTATTATTTTAATCATTTTTATTATATTTATTATTTAATTATTAATATTATTTTTCTTATTTTTATTATTATTCTTTTGTTATTCTTATTTTTATTATTATTATTTTTATTATTGTTTTTATTATTATTATATTTTTTTCATTATTATTTTTATTATTTTAATTACTATTTTATTTTTTATTATTATATTTATCATTATTATTATTTTAATAATTTTATTATTTTATTGTTTCTATTTTTTTTATTATTTTTATTATTATTATTTTTATTTCATTTTTTTATTGTTATTATACTTATTATTATTATTTTTATTAATTTAATAATTTTTATTATTTTGTTGTTTCTATTATTATTATTATTATTTTTAATATCATTATCTTTATTATTATTATCATTATTATTATTATTATTATTGTTATTATTATTATTATTATATTTATTATTTTTATTATTATTATATTTTTTTCATTATTATTTTTATTTTATTTACTATTATATTTTTTTTTATTATTATTATATTTTTATTATGTTTATCACTTTTATTATTATTATTATTTTTATTATTATTATTTTTATTATTATTTTCAATATTTCTATTATTTTTATTATTATTATATTTTTTTCATTATTTTTTTTATTTTATTTACTATTATATATCTTTTATTATTATATTTTTGTTATGTTTGTCACTTTTTCTCTTCTTATTATTATTTTTATTATTATTCTTTCTATTATTATTATTATTATTATTTTCAATATTTCTATTAATTTTATTATTATTAATACTTTTATTTATATTATTATTACTTTTAATAATTTTATTATTTTTATTATTATTATATTTTTTTATTATTGCTATTTTTATTATTTTTATCATTTTTATTATATTTATTATTTTTATTATGATTATATTTTTTTCATTATTGTTTTATTTACTATTATATTTTTTTTATTATTATATTTTTATTATGTTTATCACTTTTATTATTACTATTATTATTATTTTTATTATTATTTTCAATATTTCTATTATTTTTATTTTTATTATTATTTTCAATATTTCTATTATTTTTATTATTATTATTTTTATTATTATTATATTTTTTTCATTATTTTTTTTGTTTTATTTACTATTATATATTTTTTATTATTATATTTTTGTTATGTTTGTCACTTTTTCTTCTTATTATTATTCTTTCTATTATTATTATTATTATTATTTTTAATATTTCTATTAATTTTATTACTATTAATACTTTTATTTATAATTTTTTTTTAATTTTATTTTTATTATTATATTTTTTTTTATTGCTATTTTTATTATTTTTATCATTTTTATTATTATATTTAATATTTTATTATTATATTCTCATTATTACTTTTAATAATTTTATTAATTTTATTATTTTTATTATTATTATATTTTTTTATTATTGCTATTTTTATTATTTTATCATTTTTATTATATTTATTATTTTTATTATTATTATATTCTTTTCATTATTACTTTTATTGTTATTATATTATTATTATTTTCAATATTTTTAATTATTTTATTATTTTTGTTATTATTATTTCTATTATTATTATTCTATTATTCTATTATTATTATTATTATTATTATTATTATTATTATTATTATTATTATTATTATTATTATTATTATTATTATTATTATTATTATTATTACTATTTTTATTATTATTTTTTTTCATTATTATTTTTATTATTTTAATTACTGTTTTATTTTTTATTATTATATTTATTATTATTATTTTATGGTCTCTATTATTTTTATTATTATTTTTATTACTTTTATTCTTTTCATTATTATTGTGTTTAATATTTTTTTCATTATATTTATTATTATTATTAAATTTTTTTCATTATTATTTTTATTTTATTTACTATTATATTTTTTTATTAATATTATCTTTATTATTATTATATTTTTATTATGTTTATCATTATTATTATTATTATTGTTTTTATTATTTTGTTTTATTTTTTTTCTTATTATTTTTGTTATTATTTTATTTTTCTTATTTTTATTATTATTATTTTTATTATTTTCATTCCTTTTATTATTTTTATTATTATTAAAATTAATAATAATTTTTTTATTACTATTAATTTTTTTATTGATACTATTTTTATTTTTATTATTATTATTAATTTTTTTATTTTTAATGTTTTTATTATTTCTATTATTTTTATTGTGTTTATTGTTTTTATTATTTTTTTTATTTTTATTATTATAATATTATTATTATTATTTCCGTTATTTTTATTATTATTTTTTTTCTTATTTTTCTTATTTTTATTAATATATTTTTTATTATTATTTTTATTGTTATCTTTTTTATTACTTATATTATTAATATTATTTTTATTACTTTTTTTATTCTTTTTATTATTGTATTTTTTATTATTATCATTTTTATTATTAGTATAGTTTTATTATTTTATTATTATTATTATTTTTTTCATTATTTTAATCTTTTTATTATTTTATTGTTTCTATTATTTTTATTGTTATTATTATTTTTCTTATTAATATTTTTATTATTTTTATTACTTTTATTCTTCTTATTATTTTTTTTTAATATTATTATTATTATTAATTATTATTTTCAATATTTTTATCAATTTTATTTTTTATTATTTTTATTATTATTATCCTTTTATTTTTCTTATTATCATTATTATTGTTATTTTATTATATTTCTTATTTTTATTATTATTATGGTTTTTTTTTTTCATTATTATTTTTTATTATTATTATATTTTTTATTATTTTTATTATTATTATTTTTTTTCATTATTACTTTTATTATTATTATATATTTATTTTTATTATTTTTATTTCTATTATTATTATACTTTTTTATTATTATTATTATTTTTGTTATTATTATTATTAATTATTTTTGTGATCATGATTATAGTGTGGGATATGTTCATTTCTCTTCTCGTCTTATAAACACCTTGCAAATACCATGCGATAGTGATTTGATGAAGATATGGAAATCCACTATTTACACCTTCTCCTTTGATTTTTTTTTGTTTATACAAGTAGTTAGATGGAAGATGGGTGGATTTAGAGATTATCCAAATTCCTAATTTCAACTTCAATAACAAGTAACACAAATATTTAAATTCGTCATTTTAATTTCGTTCCAAAGTGAAAATTCTCAAGTTGCAGTTGTCAAAACACCATATCAGGCTATGAGCAGATCATGTCTGATGAAAATGCAATTTAAATAATGGTAAGTTCAAAATAAATTTTGTTTATTGATAGACTTTTGGTCGCATTGAAATTATGGTATTTATTAAAGAAAGTAATGTTGTAAAAAAACATTTCTTGTAGCCACGGTCATTCGGTCATTACTAATAATACAACTATCTGTTTAATATTATGGAATGAGTGGAGTAAGCAATATTAGGAGCGGCTCATCTGTAGTTTTATTAATACTTGATTTAAGAAAATTTAAATTTATTTCGTTCTTTAAATTACAAAAGGTGATATAAACTGTACGATCTCCATAATCTTCATAACCATGAAATCAAGTTCAATGTCAAAAATAAATTGAAAATAGTTACTATTTACAACTATTTCTAATTTTGTCATTTAAATTTTCTTCCAAAGTGAAATTTTTAAAGTTTTTTTTTTTCTCATTTCAGTTATCAAAACACCTTGTCAGGATGTGAGCAGACAATGTCTGATGAAAATACAATATAAATAAAAACATCACTTTCAGAATCAATAGCGCTTAAACTTCCTATCTTCCTCGTTTGAACCTCTTATCCTCTTCTTTTTTTTTTCATATTTCAACATGATCAATGGCAATATTAAGTTGAAATTTTATCATTTATAAGGATATTTCGACAAATCGATTTGAATGAAAAATGAAGAGAAAAAGAGGATTAATAGAATTCAGTGTTTCATAATAGATTGAAAGCAATGCTTGCAGAATTACTATCAGAAATTAAACATGTTATCATACAATTTCTTTTTAAATACGATCTAAAGTTCATTTTTCTTTCAGTGTTTTCGAAAATATTGAGAACATTTGAATAGCGGGCAGTTCTTGAAATATTCTAAATGATCTAAATATCTTGCGGATAAACAAAAAAATGTTTCAATTCTTTCGTTGCAATTTCATAGCCTCTCGCATTTGCATGTCCATAAAATCAGCACCAACACCTTTTATTTGAGCATTTAAATGCTTCATCGCATCTCGTACCAAATTTAAAGCTGTCTAAAAATCAAATTAATACTATTTAGATAAAAAGTGCAAATTTTAAATCAACTGTTATGATTGCAACCAAACAAAATTTAAAGTTCGGTCTACTTCAAAAAAAAAGCAAACTAAAAATTTGACAAACTTTGAAGATGAATCGATCAAAGCTTAGTAATTGACTAAAATTTGCAATGATGGATTTAAGTTATGAATAATTCAATCCTTAAATCGGCAAAATGCGTTGTCGACCAAAATTGAAATTGTTAATGATTAATAATAATGATAAACGGTAATGAGAATAATAAGTGTTAATGGTGATCGTAGAAAACGACAGTATTAACAATATAATATAATATAGTATTAATATAATATAATATTAATGTAATATAATATAATATAAACATAATATAAATATAATATAAACATAATGTAATATAAATACAATATAATATAATATTAATATAATATCAATATAATATTAATGTAATATAATATTAAAATAATACAATATAATAATATAATATGAATGTAATATAATATAATATAAGCATAGTATAAAATAATATAACTTAAATATAATATAATATAAATATAATATAATAATAATAATATAATATAATATAATATAAATATAACATAATATAATATTAATATAATATAAACAATATAATATTATATAAATATTTTATAATATAAACATAATATAATATAATTTAAATATAATATAATATAATATCAATATAATCTTATATAATAATAATATAAATAATAATATAATATAATGTAAATATAATATGGTATAATATAATATAATAAAAATAAAATAATACAATATAAATAATATAATATTAATATGATATAATATAATAATAATACAATACAATATAATATAATAATAATATAATATAATGTAAATATAACATAATATAATATAAATATAATATGGTATAATATTAATGTATTATTAACCTAATATAATATAAATAATATACATAATATAATATTAATATAATATGATATAATATAATAATAATATAATATAAAAGTAATGTAACATAATATAATAATAATAGCATAATATATTATACTATGAAATATTATAATATACTATAATATAATATAATACAATATACTATTAAATAATATACTATAATATATTACAATATACTATAATATAGTTGAAATATGCTGTATGTGATGAAATTCCATTAAATTAAGCAAAAACACTAAAAAAATCACCGCAAATTTATGGTACCACAATGAAGGGGTACAGTAGTCGCGGAACATCTGGTAGAAAATTCCTGATTCCAAGCTTGGATCATGTTCCATGGTTGGTCTTGTTCGATAAAATAATTCACCAGTTCGAGAAGCGCTTTTACGACCAAACAAACATACGTTTCTTCCTTCGTACCATGGCATAGACGTTTGTATAACTTAAATGTTTTCTTCTTTTTTTCATATTATTTTTTGATGTAACCTAGTAATTAAACCTGAAATGCCATTCACCAAACTTTCGTATTTCCTTTATTATTTTAATTAGTCTTTCTTAATAAATATCTCTTGCATCTTTATTAATCAGTCGTATAATGTGCAAAATCATTTATTAATTGCCAATTGATTTAAACTGTATTTTCTACAAAAAAGGTTTTTTCTTAAGTTATTAACTATGCTTCAGAAAAAAACAATCAAATCCAAGCAAAAAAAAGAATTTTTTTTTTCATGCATCTACAATTTAAAGATTACAAATCGCTGCAAATATTTGCACTTATTTTATATATTCAAAAAAGCAAAAACAAAAACAAAAAAAAAAAAAAAAAAAAAAACAGTAGCATATTTTAACTTCATTTTATCACCGATTTGTAGTCTTTATACAGTTACTGGTACCACAAAACAACAATTGGTTATAAATCTATCACATAAAAGAAGCGGAAGAAATTCTGATACCTTTATCGATTTTTCCTTTCATGAATTGCTGTTCATTTTGGTTTTCAATCTGAAAGTTTAAACAAATAAAATTATGAATATTTGTAATGAAAAGATTAAAAGCTTATTTAAAAAAATACTAAGATTTAACAAGTAAAAAAAATCATAGCTTGAAAGAAAAATAAAAATGCTGTACCTCAAGCTGGTTTGACTGTTGTTTTGCATGAACAAAACGTAAGAGTTGATTAAATGAATTTGTTTTTGCATATTGCAACAAATCAGAATGTCTTATAAATGATAACTTTTGTGGGATCATCCTAAAATTCAAAGTCTAAAAAAATTAAATTTTGATAAGAGTATTAACTGACTATACGATGTATGAAGCAGAAAAATGGGACGAAATGAATAAAGATCAACGATCAATCGGAAATTGAATTAAAATTCGTCCACTTTGTCGTATCGATTAATTCCATTTCATAAAATATGATAAAGATTGGTTTGAAATGTATCACTATTTGTACCATTGGTACCATTCAATATCTATTTGCACCATTGATGGTATCAAATATGGTAACACTAATTTTATTATTCAGTATACCAGGTAGCATTTAACGTATGTATTATTTAACCATTGAAAACTCTTCAATAATTAAAATTTGATATCAGATAATAATTAAAAATTTAGCAAAAAAATTTCCCTAATTGCTGAAATTTATATGTTTGTAAAAATGTGATATATTATGAGTCAAAGAAAGCTTTTATCAATTTTTGATTAAATTTTTTTAGCTAAAAATTCAGCATAAGCTAATAAATATTTTGTTCCTTTCCATGATTTTCAATTATTTAATTCGAGAAATTTAAAATAGTATTATTGCATAGAAAATTCGATTACATAGCAAATTATTGAAGATTTGAATGTTTATACTTTAGATAAACAAATATACATTTATGCATGCATTATGTGTTAAATTTAACTTTGACCATTTTTAATATTTAATGCTTTTTTTTTTTTTTAAGTGTTATAAAAGAGGTAAATATAAAACAAAACAAAGGATGAACAATATAAAACATTTTGTTATTCTGCAATTCAACGAAAGTTCGAAATAAATGACATAGTAATTAAGTGAAATTGTTAGCATTTTTTAATTTTTAAAATAATTTCGTTAAAAAAAAAGCGAAAGAAACAGAAAAAAAAAATAAAAAATTTATCTAAAAGAAAAAATAAGTGAACAATAAACGGAACATAAAGCAATAAATGTGATTGATAAATAAGTGAACAATAAACGGAACATAAAGCAATAAATGAAGTGCGGAGATTCCGTTTGTTTTCACAAATTTTAATAAATCTGAAAAACTTGAAAAAAATCATTATATTTACAAATATGTTATAAAATTTGCATTTTTTGCTAGAGCTAATGAAATGCCAGAAATTTAATTTCAAATTTTTAGAAATTTTAAAATTTCTAAAAATTTTTGAAATATCGGCAGGCTAAAATTATCTCACACAATCATTTTGATGATAAATCCTATGAAATTGTAAATTTAATCATTTTAATAGGACAATGAACAAAAGTAAATGAAAAAATAAGACTGCAAAATAAGAGGGAGGCAAATTGTAGTTTTAATTTATCATCAATTGTAGTTTTTAATTTAATTTATCAGTTTCTTTTTAAAATAAATTTTTGATTATTAAATTTTTTTTTTTTGAAATGTTGAACCTACTTTTAAAATACATTCTTCATTACCGGAAGAAATTTATTCATTAAACTGAACTTACGAAAAAAAGAAATAAAATTTATAATTTTGTTAATATTTATCAATCACAAATTCCATTTTCCATTTTTTATAAGTTTATTTATTTATTTATTTTTTTTCTTTATTTTCTTAGCATATTAGAAAACAAAAAGGTTTACATGCAAAGTTTATATCATTTTAGAAATTCTGGCAATTTCAGAAAGATAAAAATATGAAATCATTTCAGTGTTTTTTTTTTTTTTTTTCAATTATTTCAATTGTTATTTTCTTTTAACCATCTTTTTGCAATTTTTTTTTAATTTTATTTTAAGTTTCATTATGACATTCATTTATTATTTCACTATTTTTTTTATTTTTTGGTAAACCGATGTGAACTTTGCTTATAAATTCTTTTTTTTTGCTTGGATTTGATTGGCATTTCAGGTTTAATTACAAGGTTACATCAAAGTTTTTTTTTTTTATATTTTGCTTTTTTCTTCTCGTTTTTTTTTTTTTTTTTTTTTTTTTTTTGCATTTTTAAGCAGTATTTTTTAATTGGAATTTGAAATTACTATAAATTAATAATTGCAAATAATTTAATAGATTTCGAATCTTACAGTTATTTTAATTCTTAATTACTCAATTAATTTTCGTAAAATTTGAGATTATTATTATTAATTAAGAAAGAAGCAGAAAAATGATTTGAACGATTTCAAAGTTTTATTATTAATATTTACAAATATTCATCAAATCATAACATCATTTGATGATAACTAAAAATATTATAACATTAATTGTGCTTTTTTTTTTCAAGTAAAACTATTTGATGTGTTATGACACTGAAAATTTAAAAATACGATGACATATATATTGTCTATTATCATCAGCATATCACTTTATCACATTATGTGGTAAAATAATTTTCACACATAATTTTTTTTTTTTTTTAATACTCCTTTTATATATTTTTTAAATTTCTTGCTTTTTATTACGAATTTTTAAATTTCATACTTTTCATTTACTTTTCAAATATTTCAACTTTTGTTATATGCAAAACTTCATGTTCTTTCCTTTATATTCTGTCTTATCAAAAAAAAAAAAAAAAACATTTAGTTATGGTATTTTTATAACATAAAAAAGAATTAGAATTCCATAGATCGAATTTTTACTATTGAAATTCGTCTTCATCTTACACTATGTTAGACTAATCATTAGTAAATTTTGAAAATATCAATTTGAAAAAAAGAAATAAAAATAAGAAATTGCCACCGAAAAGATATTTATTATGCAAATGCAATGTCATAATATATTTATGTATATGCTTTTATATTATTTTTTTATTTTTTGTTTATATATATTTGTTTATAATACTTTTGAATTGTTTTATTTTTAGTGAAATATTTGTGTTATTGATGTTATCAGTAGACGGATATTGATTTGATATAAAATGATAGGATAATGAGATGCATTAATAAGGGATGGATTTTAGAATCTAAGGGTTACTCTGGTCGGTTGGTTCAATTTTATGGGCAATTGGTCTAACAGTTGTAATGAGAAATGGAAAGAGAGAAAAGGTAATGGTCAAATGAAGAAAGCCTTTATAGGCTGCTATCATCAATTTGAACATCAATTATTGATTTACATTTTCTATTCTATATATACCAGTTTATAGGGTTAAGAATAGTTGGTAGTGTTAAAAGAAGGAAAAATATTTCAGGCAGAGGTCAAATAATTTGGAAAAGAAGAAATGAATGAAAAGGTCAAGTTGCTGAGCAACAGACAGTGAAAAAAACAAAAAAAAAAAAACATCATCATATTAGAGAAATAAAGGAATGGTCACTTTTAGCAACGATGACCTTCCACATATTGACCATGCAGGTAAAAACATTATTCTAAGTTTTTTTTTTTTGGTATACAAAGATTGAGTTGGGGCTTTTTTTTTTTTTTCTTTTTGCTTTGTTCTTTATATTATTCGTTTCTAATTTTAAATTTTAATCATTTTAATTTATTATTTAAACTTTCGATTATTAATTATAAAGTGCAAAAGAGAAAAAAACAGACCTTAGGGAATAGATAATGCAAAAATTGAAGAAATATAATTGATATTAAACATATAATTAATAAATTTGATATTACTAGAGTGACTGATAAAAATGATATTATCAGTAGACAACTGATAACTTTGTTAATATTGCTTGTATGTGTTAAATTATTTCTGATTTTCTAGAGTATTAATAAAGTATGAAATGAATTTCTAGGTATATATGTATATATAAACCAAGCACGAGATTTATAATAAATTCTTTAATTTATTTAAATTATCAATATCTTTTATCATCTCTTCAAATTAACTGAACACAGTATGTTATTAAATAAATGGCGAACGATGGAGGATAATCATTAGCATTAAACTAACAATGATAATGATTAAAGATATTCAACAAGTTTTTTTTTTTTTCTTGCATTAAAAAGAAAAAGAAATTTTATCATTTTCATTATTATAATGATTAATCATAAGAATTTCAAAAAATTACGAATAATATTATAATGATTAATCATAAGAATTTCGTAGTGTTAAAAATTACGAATAAATTGCTTTACATAGATTTTTTTTTTAAATATTTTAATTAACAATATCATAATTATATCTACTTTTATCCGAATCGGAGTGATTAATTTAATGTAATTCCATAATAATTGCAAAAATTTTCTTATCATTGATTATCGTTTTCCTTTTTTTTTTCTTGCTATTGCTATATTAATTTATACAATTTCTTGTAATATTTTAGAATAAATTTTGTCTTTAAATGTTTCCGTGGCGTCAAGAATTAAGTCGAGAGCGACGTCTATTCGTTCTTCAGCGCATACGTCTAATTCTAATTTCTGGTCGATGTTCATGGGCCCAAGCTATACCAAGCATTGATCTTCATGCTTCACTTGTGGCTGCTGAACGACGAGCATATGATCATGCTCGAACATTTGATTCTTACGTATGTCTAATTTTTACGTTTGCTAGCGATGAAGCAAGACGTCGTCTTCAGCATCAACAACGGCAACAGCAGATGCAAGAACGTGAAGTACGTGAAGTACGAAGTGATTTATCATCGGATGTTTCAGAAAATGCACAACTATAAAAGGCATCACTATCTTTTTTTTTTTTAAGCGTTTATCAACGATGAAGTATGATGTCAATTTTAAAAATTAGCAGCAACGATAAATAATAAAATAACTTCATGAGAAATTTTTGAAAGAAAAAAAAGGAAAAAGAAAACACTAATTGGTATTTGAAATGATATATTGGAATATTAAAAAGTATTCAAAAGAAATAAATTTTTTCGTTGAGAAAAATTACTATAAACTCAAATTAAAACACGCAAATGATAGTAAGAAAATTTGATTTAATTATTTATTATATTCAAATTATACAAATTAATTGTGTAAATACTTTTCAAATTATCTGACATATATTTATTTACTGCACACTTATCCATGTAGATGTACGAAAATATTTTTTCATATTATCTTTTTCTTTAAATTCAATGCAATAATTCATTTAATTAATTCAAATTAGACTTTTTTTTTTTTTTAATGTTATTATCATTACTTTTTTTTTTTCTTTTTCTTTGATCAAATGTTCATTCTAACGTTGATGGTGTCAAAATTATTACGGTAGTTACTAGAAAATTTTCGTTTTGTGTTTCTATCTTAGGAAATATATGTTAAATGTTACTGTTATCAACCACAAATTTTCTACATCAAATCTTTCTGTTAGCTCTATCTCAGGTGCTACGTCAAATCTTCTTATTAGTTCTATCTCAGGTACAACGTCAAATCTTCTTATTAGTTCTATCTCAGGTACAACGTCAAATCTTCTTATTAGTTCTATCTCAGGTACAACGTCATCTGTTAGCTCTATCTCAGGTGCTACGTCAAATCTTCTTATTAGTTCTATCTCAGGTACAACGTCATCTGTTAGCTCTATCTCAGGTGCTACGTCAAATCTTCTTATTAGTTCTATCTCAGGTACAACGTCAAATCTTTCTGTTAGCTCTATCTCAGGTGCTACGTCAAATCTTCTTATTAGTTCTATCTCAGGTACAACGTCAAATCTTTCTGTTAGCTCTATCTCAGGTGCTACGTCAAATCTTCTTATTAGTTCTATCTCAGGTACAACGTCAAATCTTTCTGTTAGCTCTATCTCAGGTGCTACGTCAAATCTTCTTATTAGTTCTACCTCAGGTACAACGTCAAATCTTTCTGTTAGCTCTATCTCAGGTGCTACGTCAAATCTTCCTATTAGCTCTACCTCAGGTACAACGTCAAATCTTCCTACTAGCTCTATCTCAGGTGCTACGTCAAATCTTCCTATGAACTCTACCTCAGGTACTACTCACATATTATTAGTTTACTACTCGCATATTATTAGTTCTACTTCTCGCAATACGTCAAATCTTGTTATTATTTACTCTACCTCGGGTACTACGTTAGATCTTATTATTAGCTCTACAGCAGACAATCTTAGCACTGTTCATTTCAATGTGTCAAATATTATTATAGTTGTTTAGAATTGCATTTTTTCTTTTTTTTTTTGTTTCAACTTTGGAAACTAATGAGGTGACATCAAGTGATATCATTTTAATAGCATTGTAGATTATCTTACTTCTGTATAAACTCATTAATTATCATGCTTCTTCAACAACAAAGCAAAAAAAAAAAGAAAAGAAAAAATAAAGGTAAAGGTAAAAGTATAGTTGTCGTGAAGAGTATCATATTTTAAAAATACATCCACATGTATTAATATTTTATCATGTAATCCAGAAATTTCTTGCAAATAAAAATTTTCCATTTTTAAATTCTAGAGAGAAAATTCTTTTTGCTTATATAATCTAATTATAATTAAAACATCATACTTTTAACAAAATAACAAATGGATTGTAATGAAATCTTGCTTACAATAATAAAATTCGAAATGATTTTTAAATAAAAATTTACAGAATAAATGTACAAGTGCAGATAATACAATAATTTGCTTGCATAGATTTTTTTAATAAAACTATCAATTTTATTTTGAATATTTCACAATCATTTATTAATATGAAATCAAAAGAAAAATTTAGTTATATTTCTTTCCAAATTAAATGGCAGTTATTTATAATGTGATTTGATGCATAGATCTCGTTCCTTTATAGCATTAATAATTAGAATTTGAACATAATATTTTGATTTTTGGACATTAGCATCGATTGATAAAATTATCAAATCAATGGAGGCTATTTTATTCTATAGAATTTATTTTCTCGCATGCAAATACACTGATATTCAATGGTTCATCTGACAGCTGAAATTCGATTTGTGGAAAATGTCTCAAAGATCTTACCCGAAATATTTGATCATACCCGAAATTTTTATTTTTAGTTGTTAATTTGCATGAAATTGTAATCTGTTTCCATAAACAAAATGAATGAAATCGATAAAATCTGACAAAGATCGATAAAATCGATCGATTCTTCGATCGATTCTTCTTCATAATAACATTCAGAATTTTAATTTAAAATATACGTGTATATATATATGAATGGCTAAAATACTGCTTTTCATTCTCTTTGAAGATTTCATTCCGTTCCATTTATAATAATTAATTATGAATTATTTCACTTAACTTTAAGTGTCACGTAAAATACGTGTAAGACAAATAATCCATAAGAATGTGCATGAGATAAATATAAACAAAAAAAAAAAAAAAGAAGAAATATCAATTGTAAAACTGTATTTAACAGTGATACAGCACAGTCTTGTGATAACTTTTGTTGCATATCACTGATATAATTTGCTTAACAGTTGCTAAATCTGAATATGTATTAGAAATGATAAAATTTCTACCAGAAATTTTCTAAACTATTAACTTGATAGTATCTTCGGAATAAGCTACTTTAACAAAAAACTATGTTCAAAAGCAAATTGATACATAAGCAAATTAGAAAACTGATAAAAGTAATGATAAATTAACTTATAGTCAGCAAAAGAAAATTTCGGTAATATTACGCCAATGTTTTATTCAGAATAATAAATTGTTTACTTAAGAAAAGTGTCTAAATAATATTTATGAAATTTTCTTGTAAATTTTTAATCAGTTATTTTGATTGATTTGAATTAATGACTGTTAAATAGTACAGTGAAATTAGTAATCATTCAAATAGTAAAATTAATAATCAATTCATTTTTTTTTTTCGATAATAATTTGCAATTATAATCGGAATGTAATTATCGTATCGGCAGAAATGATAAAATAATAAAATCTTTCACTGAATTGAATACGAAGCATTAATGTATTAAAAACAATTCGATTGCTCATAAATTTATTGTCCAGCTATTGCATTTAATTTACTTTAAATTTACTTTAATAAGGAATTTGAAAAAGAAACTGATATATTTATAATGTTATGTGTGGAAAGCAACTTATTACAGTCCACTTTCATGTATTCCATGCAATCATTTTAACTATTAATCTGTTTTCAAATATTAATTTTCACCAAATTATAAATTTGCATTGTTTAAAAATTTTCAAACATTATGTGAAATAAATTTGATTTGTTGTATTTGTCAACAAATTATAATTAATTGAAATTAGTTCTTAAAAAATGTGATGGAAAGAAGGAAAATCATTCTCTAAGTTCATTGAATGAACAGTGAATTAATTATGAACAAAGAATTTGAGGTGAAATAAGATAAAATAATTTAAAGACAGCAGAAAGAGGAGGAAAAAAGATTGCTGCAAAATTTAATTGCTGTAATTTGAGGTGTTCAATGGGAACTGCTTGGGATAGGTGTTTTCATCGTCACCCAGTCAGAGCGATGCAATGGAAATAATTATGAATCAGGGTGATGCAATTCATGTATGCTTTCGTGCATTTCCTTCCTTAATTAGATGTACTTTGTTGGTGAATTGTTTAGCTGTGGCTTTAGTTTTCTTTGGGAGCTTTGTTAGTTTCATTTTTCTTTTTTAATATTTTGTTTAAGATTGTATAACTCTCGAAATCTTCCTGTTTTTTTTTTTTTCAATTTCTTGAAATTGAACTTTCCATTTTTAGAACAAATTGTTGAGAGGGAATTTTATGGCTTGTTGTTTCAAGCTGTCACAAAAATTTTAACATTTGTTTGATGCCTACTAGAAATTTAATAAATTTTTAAGCTTACTAGAAATATAACAAAAATTTAATAAGTTATTTGCTGTGTTTTTTTTTTTTTTTGTTTTTTTGATATCTCTATTTGGTTTGGAATGTATGGGCAGCATTAAATTTTTAAATGTGATTCAATAGTGATTTGCCAAATAACTTTTTTGTTCCTTTCAGATTTTCTACTTAAGTTTAATTTTAACATTTCATTGCTTATGTATTTTTTGATTTGAAAAGAGTTAAATATGAATGGAAGAGGCAAGTCGATTCCGTGACTGTGGTTTTACTTATACATTTGTTGTTACAGATGACGTATACATTATGTATGGTTGGTCAAATAATCATACGCTGATTAATTGAATGTAAACAAAGTGGTCAATAATAGAAGTAATAGAAAAAGAAAAAGGGTAAGAGAAATGAGCATGGAGAATTTGGATGTTATAACCAGTGATAAAATGCTGACGAATCAATTGTCGGACGCTAGCAGAGATGATAGTACAACTGCATCTGTTCTAGAATCCACCATCGAAAATCATGGAAAATGGGTTAGCATTATGGATGATTTGTTATCATAGTTGAATGCCAATGATGCTTCTGCTTTTGTTCGAAACCAAACAGACAATCTAACAAATGACAAAATTTCCGCTAATGGTATTTGCAAGATTCACTGGAATAGGAAGTGAATGAGACTGATTCTTTGATTTAGCTTGAATAGGTTTGGCAACTATGTAATATTTAAGTTTCTATTACATTTAAATAAAATTTTCAAACTACATTTGATACTGTATTATCATTGCATTAGGATGATTGCTCCAATCATCTGGAATGTTAGGGTTATCTTTTCTATTTTTTAAATAAGTTTAAATTTTATTAAACTTGGAGGTAAAAAGATTTTATCATTTTAGATTATCCAAAAAGAAAATAACCAATCTGATGCAATGAACCAAGAAAATAAAATATCAAACACAATTTGTGAAGAGGATGTTACAGCGATATCATGCGAAATGTGCCATAATTATGAACTAAATTTAACAAAAATGCAGGTGAGATTGGTTTTTTCAATTAATTTTTCTTACAAAGAATTGCTTGTTCCTGCTATTTCGTTTTCTTTAAAGGGTGAAGTTATGAGAAGGAAAAACCTGAATCATTCTTCATAATAATTTTCCCCTTATTTTTTATTCGTATTTGTCTTCATTAATTGAATTTTTATAACTGTTCAGGACGTAGAGCGAAACTTGAAAGAACAGTTATCCGCTGCACAACATTTGGTTAATCGTTACCAGAATGAACTCTCTGGAGAGCGCTTGTACAGGTTCGTTCTAAAATGCTTTTTTCCAACCTTCCCGATAATTTTATAATGATTTCAGAAGGGAAATGGAAACAAAAACAACCACATTATGTGCAGATAATGAAAAAGAAGTGAATATAGCGAAAAATGAGAATGAAAAGTGTTCTAAACAATTGTCTGCCGTCGATGAAAGGTTTGGTTTTTTTTTTGGTTTTAATGGTTTATGAATTTTATTAAACGCATATGGTAATCATTATGATTAATTAACTTTTAGGTGTATAAAGTTGATACGAGAACAACGAAACAATATTGGTCGCTTGAAGGAACGTTTGAACATAATGAATAAAGATATGCACAATTTGAGCAGTCGATATTTAGTATGTTTTTGCACAGCATATTTTATCTTTGTTTCATATTGCGTTTTATATATTATACTAGTTTAGCAATTTCAAATTATTTTATTGTATTTTTTTCAGAAGTTGCTTGGTGCCAATCGTAAATGCTCTACAGAAATGAGAGATCAAACGATAGAATTGCCTCAGGATGTTGATCAATTGCAATTTTTGTGCCTCCAACTAAGAGAAGAATTAATTGAGACTCGTGCAGCTAAAGAACATGCTGTACGTTTCCGATACTTTTCTTTGAATATTGAGTCTTCAAAACAACAAACTATGAGAGATATAACTGCCCATGTGTTAGTAGATTATTCGAGAGGACTGACATTTGAAAATTTTCATTCTCACTCGGATAATCTATTAGCTGAACAGTGTTTACAAAACAAATATCTGCAGTGAGCAAATAAGTTGAACTTATGCAAACATTAACTGTTATAAACTGTTGAATTAGTGATAATGCTTAGATAATCATTCCCTTTTGATCTAACACGGTTTCGTCACTCGAAATGAAAAAACAAGATGAAAAGGTTTTCTTTCGGAAATAATGAGAGAATCTACCATTTGCTTTCGTAATCTACTTTACTATCATTAAAAATATATTTGCTGATATATTTTAGGAAGTAGTGCTGAGAGATGAGATAACAACACTAGAAGCGCAAAGGAAGGAGGATGAAATGGAAAAGAGAAGGATTGAAGATGCTTACACTGAGCGAGTAAATGGTGTTAGCGAAGAACTTGGTTTTGCTCGCAGTCAGGTATATTTATTTGGTTTAAGGATTTTTTTCATATTGTTAATCCAAGATTAATCACCATTGGTTTACATCTTGTGCGTTATAGTTAGATTCGATGAAAGATGCATCTTCGAAAGTTGAAGAAATGAACAAAAGGATGACTGAATATAGGAAAGTAATCGAAGATTTGGAAAAACAGTTACAATCAGTGCAAAAGGAACGTACTGATTTGGAAATGTCTGTTGCTTTGTATAAGCAGAAGTATGTTTTGAGGACTTCCGAATAGGTTTTATTAGTTATCATCGTTTTTTTTTTTTTACTGCTTTATCAACGGCAGTTTACTTTAGATGCGCTGCTTTGCAACAAGAATTGGATACATCAGAAACCGTACAAAAGGATTTCGTTAAACTTTCACAAAATTTGCAAATTGAACTTGAAAAAATTCGACAAGCTGAGCAGGTATTTAGTTTGTTGGTGTTCTATAATAATATAGAGATCGTCCTACTTCTAATAATAGATAGTCACTTGCGTAATTACAAATAATAATTACAAGTCAGTTAGTGTCCATCAGTTAGGTATTCATGTAAGATGGTATTAAAGGAAGTGCGGTGGCAGTTCGATGAAGATGTCCATGCATGCAATCAGTGTCAGTCAAATTTTTCCAAAAACCGTGTTAAATTCCATTGTTATCATTGTGGCAAGATTTTCTGCTCAATCTGTTTATCAGCAACAATACCTAGTGGACCGCATCGAAGGCCAGCAAGAGTTTGTCAAGTGTGCCATACTCTTCTAAGCAGGTAATTGCTTCTTTTTTTTTTTACTTTAGTTTTTAAGTTTTTCATGGCAATATAATTTCAAGTGTCTCTAGACTTTTCACAACATTGCAGGAGGTTTTATAATGTTAATCTATTGATTAATTTTTAATTTGCTCTTTACTAGTGGAATTAAAGCATGTTGATTAAGTTTTATTTTTGCTGATTAAGTTTAGAACTATCGTTAAGTTCATTATCCTTAGCTTAGAACATGCAACTGATTGAATAAATCTCGAAATTAATGCTTTTGCTAGTTTGTTTATCTATATGTATGACTTATGAATAGTTCTTTTTTTTTTTTTTAATTACAGTAAAGCATTGTATTTCCAGGGATTCCGCTCCATTTTTCTCACATAATTTGGCAGCAACATAGTTATGATTATCAGATCATTCCAGATATTTCTGTCTCAGAAATGTCGAATTATATGAGTATTTTGACGAGGTAAAAAGGTGTGATAATATTTGCTTTACTTCTTTATAATTTGTAGTTTTAAATACTCATTTCCGTATGTGAATTAGGGTTAATTTTGTTTTATTTTCTATAGAAGTTTAGGACAGGTATTGGGTTGGGAGTTCTGGTAGCTTCATGCATTTTTTGAATAATAATTCTCCAACTTTTTTTTATATTTTTAAAAATTTTTAATACTTTTTGCTATTTTTTTTTTTCTCTTGTGACTGATTAAAGTTCGGCATACTTTGTTTCAGATAATTTTGCTTTTTGATAATAGATCTATTCCCTTCCATATTCAGGTTTTATTCAAATACTAGATTACTTTTGTTGCTCACACGATCCTTGTAGTTCTGTTGTATCCTAAGAATGCTGATTTTTAAGAGTCGATTGATTTTTAACATATTAGGTATTTAACTGATTTTGATTATTTAAACGGGTAAATTTGAATGCAATTTTTTCAGTTTAAAGTCATTAATATTTGACCAGTCGTTGTGTTTCAAGGATCTATCTAGTTATTACTGAAATTCTATGATTTTTGGGCATGCTTAAAACTGTACTATAATATTTCATGACATAGGGAATGCTGTGAATTTTGAGATTCTTCATCTTGTGCTGGTTTCCATTTGTTCCTTTTTCATATGTAATCCTAATTTTTTACATCACTACATTTGATCGTCTTTTTTCGTTTTGTATGATATACAGCTCAATCGATAAAATCTGGAAATTTCTATGTTTTAAGAGCTTTTATAGGGTCACTCTACTGTTTATGGTCACTGCAAAACTGCAAAAATATCCCGTAATGACCAAAGACGACAGTTATAGGTTATTTACTATTTTTATCATTGTAGTTTCGATAAGGGAAGTGTGATGTTTCTATTATATTATCAGAGTATAGTTTACCTATATCTTACAAGCAGTGTTTTGTTATGACAGCTTTAAAGATCATATGAGACACATGTCCTAATGAAGTGTCTTATGTTAACTATTCTAATCCATTTACGTTGTTTCTGTCTGACTTTCGTCATTAATCAGACTGATAATTTCTGGTGATATTCTGTATAACTCCGGTTAATTGTTCATAGTTATATTTATTATGAAGAAGTGTTCATATGAGATATGTAAATAAAAGAGTTAAAAAGGAGGAACGAATCAGTGTACATAACTTATATGGTTCACATTTATGTATAGTTTGATAATTCTGATATATAAATAACGTTTCAAGAATTCTTAGCCATTTTAGTAGAATATTCAGCTGTTTCAACCAAAAAGAATCCAGAATTGATTCCAGTGTTTTCCACTCCAGAAAGGAAGAAAAGGAAAATGGGAAAATATGCATTTAATTCTTTGTTTTTTTTTTTTTTTTTTTAAAGCCTCCCGTGCAATAATTACACATGAATACTTACATCATCAAAATCACATTCTATTAAACTTGTAAATAAACGATAATTAAGATTGCAGCTAAACATATCTTCCTATTTTATTTTAAACTTCCAGCAAATGTTCTTTTTTTTTCGTTTGATTTTATTTTCCTACTTAATTATTAATTATATATGTATAAATTGCAAATTACAAAAATACGTATCCATTGATGTTAAGCTTTTGTTCTGGACTTCTTTTTTTTCCACAAAATTATAGAATTGTTTATCTAAATCTGATTTATTGCCATTTATTTCAGATAATTTATTTCACTTAATTTTCATTTCTCTCTCTCCCTCTTAGATTGCCACTTTTTTTCCATTTCTACTGTTTTTTTTTTCATGTATAATCAAATCTATTAATTATTTGATTGGACGAATAGTATAAACGTTTAAATAATTATTTAATACGAAAATAAGAAAAGAACATTTCTTCTAATTGCTCTTGTTGCATTTAACGATGTAACTATGTTCTCTCACTAAAAAATTGATTGATTTCTGAAAGTTTAAATGTTTTCTTTTCACTCTTTCTGCCTCTCTTTTTTTTCTTTTCATTTCTTGGGGGTAATTTGTAAGAATTTTTCTTAAATTTATTTCATAAAATTATTAATGGGATAATTTCAAGTTAATTATTAACTACTTTGTTGAATATTGTTATACTCTCGGTAAAATCAAATTCAGTAATGAAAATTCAGGAAAATTAACCTTCTAATAGACAATAATTGATTCCTGTTTTATTTTATACTTTGTACTTTATACTTATCTAAAAAATTTTATAGTGATGAGATTGACCCTAACATTCATAATTATCAGTGGTATATCAATACCGATAACTACTGCATTAAAAATGAAAAGTGTTGGAGTAAACGGAACTGTTATTTGTGATGGCAAACCTGTAAATGATGCATTAATTGAGTTATACAGCGAAAGAAATGGTTCGTCTTTCTTTTTTTTTTTTTGAACTATTATATGTCTGTAAAATATGTAGTAGTATCATTTAAATATTTATTTGAATTTAGCTTAAATAATATTTGTTGCATGCATAATGATTTATACAGTTTGTTATTTATTTCGTACGTTATTTCTCTATCGCTAATTAAAATTAGTGCAAGATTTACTTGAAATTAGCTAAATTTTACTGAATTAATGGGTAGAATCAAGTGACTGTGCTGAATTGTTCCGGATGTAATAGCCGAGAAGATAACATGAAAATACTGGCTTGTATGATCTGCTAATTATAAGTGAAATGAGCCATCTTTGCCTAACTAATTAATTTAAGCTTTCTTAAGGTAGGAATAACTGTGATATTTTCGAATAAATTGCTACTTAAATATGAAATATTTTCATAATTTTCAGCTGGGAAATCAAATGCAGTACTTGCTAAAACAAAAACGAATGAGCAGGGTCATTTTATAATCAAAGGAAGCTCAAAAAAAGATACGTTTGATCCACAGTTCACTATAAGTCACAAATGTCGTACAAAGGTTTGGTTCACTTATATTATAAAGGAAATATAAAATTGAGATATATATATATATATATATATATATATATATATATATATATATATATATATATATATATATACAACTCTTATAAAATTGACTAAAACATTTGCCTTCAAAAATTCATTAAAAAATCAAATATCAGTTTCAAACTAAAAGACAAATTAAAAATTTTCAAAATTTTTGTAGCTTTGCACACGTAGAGTATTCCTTCGTATTCCTGACAAATATTTCACGCTCAGTTCAAAGCCACATGAAATCTACGATGTTGGTGTTATTGATATGAAAAATAAGTTCCTTACTGAAACAAAAACATGTCCGACCTAGAAAGAAATTATTCGTGTTTTATACATATGTTTTTATAATATTTGATTGGAGTAAAAATGATTAAAGAAGTAAGATTATGCGAATAATATTAGCCAAATTCAATGAATTCTATGCTAAATGAAGGACTAATCATTTAGCTTATTATAATTAAAAAGTCGATAGGTGATAAATATAAAATATGATGAGATACCTGTCTATTTCAACAGAGCAATTATCATATGTGAGATCGATTGTGCAAAGAAAGTGATAAATCCAATATTTTGATGAAACCGATGTCAATAGCATTTTATACAAAAGAAGTAAGAGAAGCAAAACATGGAAAGATTTAAATGTGATTAGAAGATTTTGCAACAATATCACATATTTTCGTAGTATAATAAGAATATAACATTAAGAGTAAATTAATGGAAAATCCTTCACAAGAGGGAACCTAAATAGAATTCATAATGGGACTTCATTTTTCAGCTTCTCTCAAACTTCCATTAACCTCTCTTTTTCTTAGACTTAAAAGAATTGCAATTTACATGTCCTTAAATAAAAATCCTCTCCTCAAATAATTCTCCATTCTTAATGCTTATGAAATATCATAGAAGCTCAAGTAATAAAGGGAATAAAATTTCATACTAAAATAGAAACTGTTATGAAACAGAATAGATTTTGATTATTTTACGAAAAAAGGTAGGATAAAATATTGTTGAAAAAATGGCTGAAAGGCACTACCTCAACAACGAGAAACTCTCTTTCAAAATCAAAATGAAAAAAGAGAAAAAAAAGAAAGAACAATATAGAGCATGAAATGTTATGCCATGCCTTACTTTATTTTTAATCACCATGACTTGTCAGGTATCCACCTGATCAAACTGTATATTCGATACGATGGAACCTTAATCTTCAAGCAAACTAGAATTCCACTTCAGTAAGTATCTAATGATAACAGGAAGGAAAGAGTAGTATGCAGTGCGCTCATATAATGCATATTAAATCATAATTCCTTGGATAAAATACCTAAGTTAAGTTGTCTACGAAAGATAAAACTACGTAAAATAGCACAACAATTTGGCGAACGTAAACCAATTCCAACGATAATTTCATCCATAGCATGAAAATTCCAAGCATTCTTTACTCCTTCCACTTTATCTTCAATACATTTAATCATCTCTTTGTCGTTATCTTTTTTCCACAGCATAAGTTGCAGAGTTTCATCGCAGTCAATTTTCACAGTGTAATCTCCATTTAAGCATAGATTAGTCATAAATAGCCTAAAGGACATGTAACGGTCATTTTTTGTTTCTCTTCATATTATTTTATAACAAATAGTTCGAGAGATTTTTTTAGTTATATGATTGTTCAGCGATTGCAATACAAAAAATTGTTGTTTTGAAAATGGCTAATTTACTTGAGCAATAAAAACATAAATTTACTTTTTCGTTTACTCCTTGTAATGATCTCTTCTTTATTTTACAAAGTTTACTTTTTAAAATCGGAAGTTCCAATACCTATGTAAAGTTGATCCTTGAAGGACGATATGCACACCAGAAGATTCTGGAAAAACACCACTGGCCAGATAAAAAGGTTGCATTTTTGCTTCCGCCAAATTATAGTACTAAAAAAAATGCTCTGTTAATACAATAAAAAACTCAATTATGTAATAAATTTTTTTATTATTAATAAAGTTTTAACACTATTTACTAACAATATAAAATCCATTTTAACAAGATTTTTTCATACTTGACCAAGCGTAACTAACAATTCCAATCAGTTATTACTCCAAATTAAAAGCCAATTTCTGTTAAAATTTGAGCTAGGATGTTGTAAACTAATTTGAAACTAGAGAAGCACACTCATTTGGCTTAAAACGCAAGGAAGTGTAAATACACAAAACGAAAAAAACTTTTGAGAAGAAAAATAATAATAGAGCTAAGACAGACTTGTATGTATCTATTTTCATAATGTCATATATCAATTCAAAATCAAAAAATTTATTTCCGACTCAAAGCAGATTCTGATCCTATTAAGACTGTGTGAGACATATTTATGGTAGTTTGATATAAATAAAGGTAAAAGATGCCTTGCAAGTATCCCTATATTGGTAACCAGAACTAAAATCGGTGTCAATTGGTAATGTTGTCAACGGATGTGGTCGAACAAATGTAATCAAACGATCCCAAAATCTGCAAAAATGTTTGGAAAAATATTATAAATCAATTTCGTCTGCTAAACAATTCTAAACGTTTTTGATGTGTCTGCTGTACCTTAAAAAAGAATGGTCAAATGTTTTATATTGAAATTTTTTGCATTTTCTAGAACTTTATTAGTTAGACATTCTTCTTATATTTCCCTCTTACGAAGAATGTCTAACTAATATGAGAGAAAGCAAAACGATGAGATTAGAAAAGGATAAACGAAAAGATGAGAAGAGATACGTGAACTACGTGTTATGTTAGTTCGCAAAAAAATGATAGGAAAAAAAGGTACCGCAAAGAATTAATGATGATTTCTCGAGAAGGCATTGTTTCAACAATCCATCCAGGAGCAAACAACGCAATTGAAAGATTATTTTGACGGGGATACATGAATGCTTCATGACAATTCCAACCACCACCACCTGGAAGAATTAGATGTTTCAAAAAATTAGAGTAGTTTCACATATTCAAATTATGATAAAAACAAAGATTCCAAGGTTGAACTTCAGATATGTATTATTCATTGATGCCGTTGAGCGATTTCTTTAATGTAAAAAGGGAAATGAGAGAGTAAAACAATTAGTTGTTGAATTTTAAATTCATCAAATATTAAACAAATTTCTGAAGCAAACAGCACTATCCGTCCAGATAATTTCGCATGATAGAACTGTTCAATTACAACAAGTGAAAAATTACCATGACATCCACGGCCAAAGCAGTCAATTCCAACAAAAATATTCCGATGACGATGTTTAGCTCGTATAGCACTTGTCGATAGCTGTTTCACATTCCATATATAATTTAGGAAAATACCATCCGTAATATCGAACCACCTTCTTTTTTATAATAAAATTTATAATTTACCTATTCTATTTCTCTTATAATATTGCGGAAAAGGGAAAGTTAGAATAATACAATATAATATTACAGTAAGGTATCAATAAATCAATCAATCGACAAAAAATACCATTATGTGATAAAAAAAAGATCAGAAATATTACAAATGATTTACTGGTTTTTATCGTTCAGCTCATTTTGCCATTTCAATTCACCATCTACTGTAACCGAATCATACCATATTACACGACTTCGTTCACCAATTGTTTGTCTCATTTCATTTGTAAGCGTTCTCAGAAACAAATCAAGGCAAATGATAGATTCTGCCTGCAACTATCATAAATTTTATTAATCAAATCAATTCCTTACGTTTTGAATAATTCTAAACCAGTGATCTCTTATGATGAGTCATATATTTGTAAAGATGTAGTATTTGATGAAAAAAAGTCAAGATTAGATCTAATCTTGACTTTTTTTCATCAAAATATGTTTTAGAGAGAAAAAAAAAATATGTTTTAGAGAAAAAGTGATAAGAAAAGTGAAAAAAAAGTCATACTTTCATTTACTTTTTCCTACGGAATAAAACATTATTGATTTGATTAATAAAATTTACTTATTAAAAATCATACAAACTTATTAAAAATCATACAAAAATTTACTTATTAAAAATCATACAAAAACAAACCTCTATTTTATTTTCGATATTAATTAACCAGCCTTCAAAATTATATTTCACAGCAATATTTACCAATTTTTTCACCGTTTTTGTCACACTATCTTCATTTTTGAGAAATTCTTTACAAATATCAGCTCCACTGTGCCATTCAGTGATTACAGTCCCTAAATACTATGAAAGAAAATCAAAATGTAGAAAAGAGAACAATACATTCAACAAAATTTCCTGATTCTTGGCAATATTAGTTTTACATTTTCTCTGTTTTAACACTACTGATGATTCATTCAGCGCTTTTTACTCGTATCCAAAAGTACTTATAAGTTGCTTCTAATAACTTACTACACTTCAAATTATGAGCTTATAAGAATTCGAGCATAGAAAAAAAAATGCGACATATAGGTACTTACAATTGTAAAATATCACTAAATCTCGAATATCTATGAAACTTTCATCGTTTTCTTAAAATTCTGTACAGTTAATTCGGTGTAATATTAAATCCAGTACATTCATTTAAAACTGTTTTATTCGAAGATTCACGCTTTAACCTCTCTGACAAAATATTAAGGGAATTCTCGCTTTGTGATATTCTCGCATATATTTCTAATATACAATCCTTTTTATACTTCTAATCTTTTTTACATTTTATCAATCTTCTTTAGTCCATTCAAATCAAAATTTTGCATCCAAACATCAGTTTCATTATCATACCAAAACAGACTTGCAATGCTTGCTTTTAATTATCAGTTTTAACTAACAACCTAACAGTACTGATAGAAATTCCAACTTGCTTGCAGTGGCGAAATAAATTTCAAATACCAAAGATATTTGGACAATTACTATAGCAATTCTTACATGGATTATTTACAATACATGCAACCATAACATACTATAATATTAAATTTAAAAAAAAGAGTGAATTGAAATTTACTTACCAAGTACTATAACACCATGCATATGAGCTTGATTAATCCAACCTAAAGGTGGAATAGTAACGAAATGATGTGAGAAATATACAAAAATATCAATGTACCACCAATGAAAAAATATAAATGGAGCTGTTGAATCTGTTACTTCACAACCATCTAATCTAAAAAAAAAAGAAAAAATGTATATCTAGTCATAAATGTATAATTATTTCATAAAAAAAATATGAAGTTACCTTTCCTCATCCAAATATCCTCCTTTCATGTCATGACAAAGTAATGTCTCAGGATAATTGCGATGTCTCGTATAATTTTTTAATGAATTACCAATCAGACAATGTGGAATGATGTTTTCATCCCAGTTCCATAATTGATGAACATCCGTTATAGGACATGTTCCTAGCATTTGCGTCTAATGGATCTGATCTCTATGTAAATTGATGACAATATCCTTCAATAAAAAAAAAAAAAAAATCAAATTTCCATCTACTCGAAAAACTTTTATAAACTATTGGTAATATCATGCACTTGTCGGTTTTCAACATTGTCCAACTGTGCTTTATAGTATCAAATAGTGCTAAATCATATCAAAAATATATTTTAAAAATTATAGACAAACTTGAAAAAAAAAAAAAAAAACACTGTTGCCTAATAACAAAGTCATGTACTGACGAATAATTACTAACAGTAGAATCCAAATTTAATAGAACATTTTTGATTGGAAAAACAAGCCATTAATATTAATATTAACCACATGTGAATGATCGTATGTACAATACATGAAATATCTTGATTAGTAAAATATGTAAAGCTCAACTATTACAATAATTATAAAGTAGTTATCATATAAATAAATTAAGCATATAATAGATAAGATAAAATCACAAGTAAAATCACTTAATAATGCATAATAAAGTCACTCAAAACAAAAAACAAAAAATCTTGGAGTAATTTATAACCACAAATAATCTGGCCAGAAAAGCGCTTACTAGGTAAAGAAGATTGGTAATTACAAAAATACAAAAATCCATTGAATTTTTCTCAAAAATCTAACAAACTACAAGAAAAATTTTCTGGTGTCCAGAAAATAACTATACATAATGGACTCTGTTGGACATCTAATGCTGAAATTAGCCAATGTAAGGAAATGGTATTCACAAAATCACTTAAAATGTCACATGTTATTAGAAAAAGGCTTATTGAGTCTGGTGATACTCAACAATAAGTGTCCAGATAATTTTTTTCTTTTTTTTTTTTTTTAAATAAAAAAAGCAATTTATTTAATTAGTCGAAGCATCAGTCAAAGAATTAATAATTTTAAAATGAAAATATAGTACGAAATTTATCCCTAGTTAAATCAAAGCTAGATTAAAGTAAAAGAGAATTACATTACATCATATGGAATATGAATACACATTTGAGTAAAGAAATAAGATATATGGAAATAACAAACAAAAAGAAGTAATATACATATAACTGAAGAAATATAATGGCACAACATGGACTAAATTTCATTTCAGAGTTCATCATCCAAACCATTAGCATCTCTCCTTAATTCATCCAGTGCTTTTTCTACTTTCTTCTCTTTCTCTTCATCGCTCAGAATTTGAGCTTTTCCTGATTCCTCATCCGTCATTGGTGTAACATCAACAGCTGTACATACTTCTGAATGAAACATTGATCAGTTTTGGACCAATCTCTGATAATTTAATTATGATTCTCAGAGAATAAATAAATCCAATGCAGAACCAATGATAAGCTAAATGTGAATCACTCAGATGGAGATCATTCATATGAATTTAAAAAGATTTAAAGATGCCACAAATTTTGTGACCAACACTTCAATACGACCAACCTATCGTTTCATAGCAGAATTGACGCACTGGTTCCTCATATTTACTGCGTGCGAATTTAATTAGTTGATCTTCGTATGAATCCAAAAAATCATTACACTAAAACAGACAAAATAGTTAATTCATTTGCAGAAATGAAAGTAATAATGTAAATTAACTATTGCCATATTTTTGTTACCTTTTATTCTTCTTCACATGTTGAATTTATAGAATCATAATTTATCACATGAGAAAAGGGAGAAAAAGAAGTAGGGAACAATGAGAAGAGAAAAGGTATTTAAAATTATATTTAACAAAAATTTAAATTCGTTCATAAATAATCTACTTACATACCGCATCTTCAAACTGATATATGGTCAAATGTTCAGGTACTTGTTTCAATTTCAATGTTGCACGACGTGCGTAAACACCTTTTCCGGTTCTCGGATGTACCACAGCTGACCATTCGGCAGCTTTAACACAAACTGTCTCCAATACTTCTGATAATTGGATTTCCGATCTCGATAATGGCTTCTTCAAAGACAAAAATGATCATTTTGTTTACATCTAATGCATATTTTGAAATTTATTCCGGCTGCGTAAAAATTCTGTTAAAATTTCACAAATTGATTCTCGTGATAATAATAACCTTTCCTCTTCCATCTTCCTTTTCTCTTTCACAATTTCGATCACGAAATTCGTCAGCATAGACCATTTTTCTTATGCTCCCCAGTTCAGAAAATTAACACCAAAAGCATGAAATAATAACGAATTTTTGGAACTTTGAAAGGGAACATATGGAAAAAAGGAAGGAATGCTAACATCATGAAAATAAATTTTTTGAAATTTTTAACTGTATCACCTTATCATTAATGCCATGATTTTTGGTTTCGCTAAGTCGATAATAACTTTTTTCTCGTATCTTTTCTTCCAACTCAGCAATCTTTATTTCCATTTCCGTTACAATCATTGTACAAGCTAAAAAAAGGAAAAAAAAAAAAAATTTCATTTACAGTCATCATTCTTGCCATCAACACTTTACTAAACATCTTATTAAACGTAACTTACTCTTTATAATCTCCTAAACAATATTGATTAGGCGAATAATTAGCAAGCCAAATATAACATCTAAGTATAATAATTTTCCTAGAGATGACGTACTTATCTTTAAATATAATTTATGATTTCGAGATCAGCAGTACTTGGATAAGAATCTTATAATCGTATTATAATCATTGTTTCATGAAGATATCGTGTGATAAATATTACCTCCGCAAGTAACACTAGCCATTGGAATGGCAAAACATTCTGTTATCAGAGAAATAAGAATAAATAACGATATCCAAACAAATTGCACACAATAATCCATCCACTAGCACTCTATAAATATTTTATATTTTTACTCATTGCAAATTTAAAGTTAAATGTTCATTCTGCAATAATTTCATAATAACTGGAAGAGTAGAAATAATCATTTTGCGAATGATCCTCCATACAAACAATACTCATTTTCCATTCCTATAAATTTTTCCTCTTTATTTTTTTTTAAATATTTAAATTTTCTGATAAGTTCAAATCTCATTTTTCATTCATATAAATTTTTCCTTTTTTCTTGAAATATTCAAATTTTCTGATCTTTTCAAATCTCATTTTTCATCTCTATAAATTTTCCCCCTTCTTTTTTTGAAATATTCAAATTTCTTGATCTTTTCAAATCTCGTTGCTCATCCCTATAAAATTTTGCCCCTTCTTTTTTTGAAATATTCAAATTTCTTGATCTTTTCAAATCTCGTTGCTCATCCCTATAAAATTTTGCCCCTTCTTTTTTTGAAATATTCAAGTTTTCTGATCTTTTCAAACCTCATTTTTCATCTCCATAAATTTTTCCTCCTTCTTTTTGTGAAATATTCAAATTCTCTGATATTTTCATCATTTCGCATATGTTACAACATGTTTATATTTCAGACAACATTTGTTTTAAATTTCATCTCAATGTGTGCAGAAAAACGTTGCACTATGATAAGGCAAAAGAATAAACGTAACATTCGCAAAATTTCTAAATGACCTATATGATATTATGGAAATTGTGTATCAGTTTATATTTAAAAAAAAAAAAAGTGCATATCAGCATGACAAACGTGAAGTACGAGAGTATTACGTTAAAATAACATTACGTCAACGTAAAACAACGTGACAGCTATCACTAACTTCACACTCATTAATGAATTTTTTAATAAGACGTAAAATACCAGTAACGAACTAATGACTAATTCATACACGACCTGTGATGTCCGGTTGCATTTCCTACGTGACTACATTTTACGGGACTCGTTAAATACGTCTTAATTTTGATACTTTTTGTTGTGCTATAACGGTTTACTTGGTTTGTTTTAAAAGTATAAGTTATATTTATAACTGTTTTTTTAGTCTTTACTTTTCCTAAAAAAAAAAAAAAAAAAAGAAATTTTATTACTTTTAATTTTACTTCCAACTTTGACTATTTAATTGTTTGTAAGTTTAATTATTATTGTTAATTGATATTGATGAATTGATTCTGACCACTTTCCATTGATATCGATCATAACATTTTTGTCTTTGTTTACTTCTGTCATTGTGGAGCAGTAGCTTAGACAGTTTGATTATTTTCCATTTTTATTATTACTGCTGACTAAGTATATTTGGTTATTGATTATCTGCTGGTCATAAACCGTTGATGATAATGATTTGATTTTTGCTTGCCTACTTTTACCATTAATTATGGAAATTATTTTGTTTTGTCATCGATGAGGAAAATATTACTTACCTTAGAATTAAATTTGTTGTTTTCGTCAGTGTCTTAATTTGGTTCTTCCTAATTTCCTCATCACTAACCATTTCCCAGACAAATTTAATCATATATAAAGTTGGCAAATTAGGAAATGAGATAACGATAAAGTTTGTTTTGAAAATTTTTGTACAAAGATAACTCTTCAATGAACAGACAGATAGAGCAGACTGAGCACTTTCTTAAGTCTATTTTATTTTTTTGAAAAATTAAATGGTAGGGAACAAATGCCATACAACTTCTGAATTCATCTCGAAATCTATCCAATTTTTTGTTTGAATTCATGAAAGTTAGAAATGTATTACAAAATGAGACTGTATACAGTTTTATCGTAAAATTGGTTGGAAAACATATTTACTTTAGTTCCTGAAATCGTTTACTGAACGTTTAATTGCCTGCTGCAGTCATTGGTTTTAATTAGTTGCTTCTTTTCACTGTTCCTTTTTGCAGTTTTGCAAGCTAGGCACAATTTTTGTATGTATCATGGCAAATAAAATTGAGTTTGAATTGCGGAAGCTAATAGTAATTTAATTCAAGAGGGAATGAACAGTTGAATGAAAAGAAAGAAGTGGAAGAAGGAGAAAAGGTATTTTATCTAATTTCATAGAAAATTATGTCAGGTTTTTCGAAAATTATCAAAAGCTCTTAAAAATAGCATAAAAGATCATGGTATATCCGTTATCCTGCATATCGTTTCATTTATATGTATCTAGATCGCACTTCCATTATTTATATGTGTTTTTTGCTTTT